CATTTAAGGAGAGGTCCCATCTCATTGTTGGTTTCATTCCTTGTTCCCTAAACATCTCGTGATGTCACCGTTGGTTGGGCTTTGTACTTGGTTTTTTGCAGCTCGTTTCCCTGCTCACTATAGGGTGGCAACATTAATTTTGGATTAATGCTGCCATAAGTATTGTCGAAGTTAGAGAGAGAGAGAGGTATCCTAGGACTGAGTGGTTGAAAGGAAGAGTGTTTGATAGAGAGAGAGAGATCCTAGGACTGTGAGTGGTTGAAAGGAAGAGTGTTTGGTGTGTGTTTGAGAGAAAAATGTGGGGATGAAGAGGGGCGATATACTGTGATTCTGACAGTCAAGAGGCTATTGGTGCATCACATAGAGAGAGAGAGAGAGGTGTGAATGTTATTGGTATAGAGAGAGAAGAGAGAGAGAGAGAGAGAAGAGAGAGATGTGAATGTGATTGGTTAAAGAGAGGGAGAGGATGTTGGTAAATTGTGCAGTTTTCGATAGTGTTGGTAAGTGCGCTTCTTTACTTCAGATTCACTTAGGCGTAGCTTAAAGAGAACATCATATACATGCCCCATTTGACATTTTCTCTTCCTTTTCCTTTAACTACAGGGTAACTGCCCTTTCCATTTCTTATCACCAGATCATCAACCTCAACTACCGCATGTGCTAGAAGGTCCAGAAATAAAGGATAAACCAGTGTTTGTAAAATCGAATCGGAAGGGTCAATCGGACATGAGCCTTGAAGCGATTTAACCGGTCTAACCGGTAAATCGGCTGATTCAACCGCTCCAATCAGATAAGTCCAGAATGATTAAAAAAATATTAAAAAGGTAAAAAAAAAATCTACTAAAATATAAAAAACATATGAACAATGTGACTAAAACAAAACACACTCAAATGAAGTTGAAAATTAATGAAAATGTGGATTTAATTAATCGATTTGTGCCTAAGGGTATTTTTAAATTTTTTTGTTATCAAAGTGAGTATCAATGATCAAAATATTTTTAAATTTTTACTATAATGTAAAGAATATTAAAATAGTGTTAAAAAATCGACTTGACCAACTATTTTTTTTAAAGAAAATGATCTTTCTTTTTTTGAAAAATTGACCTTTTTTTATTTTTTATTTTTAAAAGAAAATAATCTTTTTTTTCTTAAAAAGAAAATGAAAAAAAAAAAATGTCATATATAATGTAAACCCTTATTTTTATCGACTAAGTAGTAAATGTTGATCAACTAAGTAATAAATGGCATATAGTTTTTTAACCATGGTGGTTTTTTAGCCAATGGTTTTTTAAGAGAAAACAACGCTCGGGATGGGATTCGAACTGATCAACTAAGTAACAAATGACGTAAGGTGGTTTTTAAAAGAAAGCAACACTCGGGATGGGATTCGAACTGATCAACTAAATAATAACTGACATATGGTTTTTTAACAATGGTGGTTTTTTAACCAATTAATGGTTTGTCAAAACTAACCAATAAGCCATTCTAACGCATTTGATATGAATATGAAGTATTATTCTATTTAAAGTTTAAAATATTGGGTTACCACCAAAACCGGCTAAAATAGGAACCGGTCGTTGGCCAGTTCCGATCTAACCAGCCGACTAGCGGTTAGATCAGTCGGTTTTGCAAACATTGGGACAAACTATACAATCCAAATATATATGAATTAATTATGCTTCAGTAATTATTAGTAAAATTTCAAATTCAATTTGTGAAATGGCCTTTTTGAGACCCAGGCCCATGGGGGGTCTGACATAGGGGTGGCAATTGGGTCGGGTCGACTCGATGACCTAGCAGCAACCTGACCCTGGTCCCGGACCAAGTTTTGGATCCAATGCGTTGGGTCCAAGTCCAAAACCCTAGATCCCAATCGGATCTGGGTCAGGTTTGTGTCCAGGTCGACCCAAACTAGACCCAACCCGAACATATCCATCCACACACACAAGCATGCACGCACATATACACACACAAACTTGGTTTATCCTTAAAGGAAAAAGTTTGTATAGAGCCGAGGCTCTAAAAAATCAAATTAGAGCGCACCTCAAAAATTTTACTAGAAGAGGTTGTTTTGATGCCCAAATATCCTCAAATTGATCATCTCCAAGATGCATGGACACGAGAAAAAAAAATGGATTTAAAGTTTTGAAAATTGTGCATCTTGTAATGCATTTTTGGACTGTCAATATTCAAGATTTTCAAGTTTTTATAGATTTGTTAATCTACACTATTTTTCAAACTTTCAATTTTATAATTAGAGATGAAAATATATTTTAAGGCTATCACAAAGATTTCCAATATTAAGGTGCGCTCTACTTTGATTGTTCAAAGCCTGGGCCCCTATAGAAACCATACCCATATTTGAAATATATATATGATTTATATGTATAGTATTTTTTGATCTATACAATATTTTGATAAATTTGCCTATATAAAGGCGCCGTGTACTATGAGACTATTTAGTTTTTATACAAAGAGGTTATAATCACTTTTAGCCATTGGATATAAAATTTAATAAATGAAAGTACGTTGCAACATTCGAGATATTTTATTTTAGATTTTATCCCCAACCAATGATACATCTTCAAGCATCTGATTTCAAATCTAACGATCAATGATGGTTGTGACCTCTCTATATAAAAAAAAAAATTGGTCTAACTCTATACACCTCCATATTTATAATGTGTGTGTATTTGAAATATATCTTTTGAGTATTTTTCAAAAAAAAATTTAGGTTCTAGACACACGACACAAACCAGGTCAAATCCAGGTCCAAGTCCAAAACTCTCGACCACGAGTTGGGTCAGGGTTGGGTCCAAATCTAGGTTGACATAGACCTGACCCAACCTATTGCCACCTCCAATCTAACATTAACTTGGGTTGGTCATATTAGGAGACCCATTGTACGAACTTGCGGCCTTACCCATTCGATCCCAATGACCACTTTCTTCTTTTGGTAAAAAGTCAAGAAAGCAGTGGTATACCCTAATGACCACTTTCTTCTTTTGGTAAACAGTCAAGAAAGCAGTGGTATACCCTAATGACCACTTTCTTCTTTTGGTAAAAAGTGAAGGGATCCTCAATTTCAGTTTTGGTAAAAAGTGAATAAAGCAGTGGAATCCGCAATTTCAGTTTCATTTCAATGTGCATTAATGTGTTTGGCCGAGCCCAACGTGGCCCAAGTTTTCCATTTACCCCAAACCTAATAAAGAGTAATAAATATTGATTGGACAAATTCATAAATGTGTACGTGACTCCGAATTTACTCTTTCAACGGTATTTTATTAGCACCAGGATTTTAGTACGCGTAGAAAAGAGGTAACTTTGGTGCTTTAAATCTTGTGATATTTCTGCATTTAAATCTTGTGATATTTCTGCATTTGTATATGTAGGATACTTTTATAAACCTTCTATTTCCTACTATCTTCTATCCTTAGGACAATTTTTTTGTGGAGAATTTATATGTGCATTAACTCTTACCAATTAGGGGTAAATATTGTTTTGTGATAGCAAAGTTTTTATGCCTTAAAAATAAGAAGATTGAAGCATATATATATATATATATATATATATATATAATTAATAAATATTGACAGCTATAATGAATAGTAATATAAGGAGAATCCAGTCGTTAGATCTTCATCGAATGATTCAAAATACATATCACTATTTTAATTTTAATTTTTTTCTATAAATCTGATTGAGATGAAATTTTGGTATATATACCTAACACTATTGTGTACCACATAAAAATGTTATTTTCAATAATTTAAAATGACCAAATTACCCCTGTCATTTTTCAAGGTTATTTTGATCATTTTCTATTATGAGAACTATTTTTATATATTTTTTAATTGTGCACCTTATT